CCCTTCATAGTATGCTTTGATTAGGGGCCAAATTTCCTGCTGTACTTTGGCAAGGGATTGCAACACATTTAAATAGTCGGGGGCTGACTTCTCTTCCCCCGGGGGCTGCGCTCACCAGGTTATTGGCAGAGGGGCCCTGTACATTATTTCAAAGGGAGTTAGACCATGCACATAGGGGGAGTTTCGAACCCTAAAAATGGCTAAGGGGAGGAGAGTCACCCAGTCACAGCCAGTCTTAATTACCAATTTAGAAAGGGTCTCCTTTAATGTCCGATTCATTCTTTCTACCTGCCCAGAGCTTTGTGGGTTATAGGCACAATGTAACTTCCAATCCATCCCCAAAGCCTGGGCTAGTCCCTGTAGGACTTTACTAATGAAAGCTGGGCCGTTATCGGAACCTATAGCCTCAGGGATCCCATATCTGGGGACTATCTCCTCTATTAATTTCTTTGCCACCATCTGGCTAGTTTCATGTTTAGTTGGAAAAGCCTCCACCCATCCTGAAAAAGTATCCACCATGACCAGCAAATATTTGTACCCATACTTTCCTGGCTTTACCTCGGTGAAGTCTATCTCCCAACTTCTTCCTGGGGCCCTCCCCCTCTCCTGGGTATCTGTCGGGTGGAGTCCCTTTGGGGCTGGTCTTAGCTTTGCACAGCTCTCACATCCCCCAGTGATCTGACGCGCGGCCTCATTCTGGTATGGAAATACCAACTGCGTGTGCTGAAAAAGACTGAGCAACTTCTTCCAGCCTAGATGGGTGGATCTGTGTAGGTTGATGAGCATGTATTTTCCTAGTACTTCTGGTAAGATCAGTCTACCTTCTCAGTCCCTACAACAACCTCCCTCCCCAGGCTTTTCTCCCAGAGCTTGTTTTCTTATCCACTCAAGGTCCCGTGGGGAATAGCCAGGTCTGGGAGGTAGGGTGGATAGTTCAGGTATGGGTACCTCTAGAGCTGCCAGCACAATGGGGTCTAAGAGAGCTACCCTCCTGGCCTCTGCATCAGCAAAGTTGTTACCAATAGCCTCAGGAGTCTTTCTGGACTGGTGCCCAGGCACATGTATAACTGCCACCGCCCTCGGCTTTTCCACAGCTGCTAACAGTCTTTGGACTTCCTGCAAGTTCTTCAGCTCCTTTCCTTCTGCGGACTGGAATCCTCTTTCCTGGTAGATGGCACCATGAACATGCACAGTGCCAAAGGCATACCTGCTATCCATATAAATGTTGGCTTGCTTGCCTTCTGCTCTTTCCAGTGCCTCTGCAAGAGCAATAAGTTCCACCTTCTGGGCTGAGGTGCCAGGGGGCAGGGCTGTGCTCCAAATGACTTCCCACTCATGCATCACTACCACGGCTCCGGCTCTTCTGGCCCCATCCCGCACGAAGCTGCTTCCATCTGTATACAAGTCCAGTTCACTATTTGGCAGCTGCGTGTCTCTCAGGTCTGGCCATACCTGGCT